GTCCAGGGTAGTTCGAATAAACATGTCGTCTACAAAAATATGAGCTTTTCTATTTGTTCAATTAATGAAAAGCAATTTATATATATTTTGCTGATGGAAGCTGAATTCCTCTAAGACATTTGCTTCCGCATGATAAAAATATAAAGAAAAGATTCATTTATGAATGTAAATTCGTGTCAGAAGGAATGTCTGAAATGGAATCAAGCATCCGTCAACGAAAGATGTAAAATTCTTTTAATCTATTCGATGGGTGGAAAAAATTCATAGCTTTGCTGACGAGAGCTTTATTTGAACCTGTCAGCAGTGGGGTTTGTCTATTATATTCAACGCTAGGAAAAAAGTATAAGTCATTGAAAATCACTGAACGCAAGAATCAATCTGCTTGAGACGAGGATTTAAATTGTATTTCACCTCCTGCTCAGTAAATTCATTGAATCTGATACTTTTTTCTTTTTTCTTTTTTCCAGCCGAGACCTGAAAAGAATGTTCAAAATAGAGAGAGAGATTTGCCTCGGTTCGCGAAACAGATACGACTGTCCGCGAAACAGGTGGACAACTGTTACGACAAAGCATTGTTCGCATTTGTTTATTGCCGTTGCTAAGGAATACATTTATACGTATCTCACAGACGCATAATGGTATTAATTCTGTGTAGGCGCTCGAAAAAATTGACAAATGCATATATGCGTCCTTAGTCCATGCCGGACACTTACAGAAAGCGCATATATGCGTCCTTAGTCCATACCGATAGCTTTTGTCAGACGCATATATGCGTCTGTAGCAGTCAAAGGGTTAAAAAAAATAACACCGTTTATACTTACTATTTTTAGCCACCGCCTCGTCCGCCTCGCTTGCCGCCTCGACCCCCCACCCGATATGGCCCTTGATTCGCCAATTTTCGTAGCATGCGACACAGAAAAGCTTCCACATAATTTTGCCTCGCCCGTCTTCCCGCACGATTCCCGCGTCGTTGATAGTTTCCTGTAAAATTAAAAATTGAAATAAATTACGTTTTCCCAACAAGTAATTTACAAAATTTGACTTCACAAGCACTGCGTTGACTGAGCATGACCTGGATCGTGCCCAGATTACAGTAGTGTTCGTGAAGTAAAATTTTCCCAGTGGCTTTTCATTTGATGCTGCTTTTAATTTCACCCATCAATGGATTTTAGTTGTCGACGTAAAAAAAAATCAACAATTTGACAACTAAAATCTATTGACTGATGAAATTAAAAGCAGCATCAAATAAAAAATCACTTGTATTAAGAAAATGAATATTTTTTACTTACGTGCTTCGTCCGCTTCACGGTTGCTTCTTGCCGGCAACCGCACCTGCCCGCTAGCCTGTTGTGGCCCTTGCCCTGGCTGTGCCACTGGTGGTCGTGCTTGTGCCGGCTGCGCGAGATCCTCCCTCTCCCCCGCCGCCGAATCGACAAATATTGCTTCCATATCCATCTGAAATATAAAAAATACACATGAATTAATGGTAATAAAAAAACGTGCTTAAGAGCCGCAGTAGAATCTCGACGCCAAGTAATTTTGTGTCATCAGACGACGTTTACTTGATTGAGACGCTACTGCTCCTTTTATTTACCGCGACGTCGGCTTTAAATGCAATTTTAATTACTTACCTCCAAATCGTTCTCACTCTCTGCCATTTTGTGGGATTTTCTTCGTAGTGATGAAAAACAAAGAAGACGAAGAAGGAAGAAATATAGATCTTTTTTTGCCTTCGATCTGTTTTTCAAAGACAGAAGAACTTTTGTGTTTTTACAAAAAAAATTCGACACTCTTATTGGCTGTCGTGGCTGACACGAAATTCACGGGTAACTGATAGGCCTAATTGCATCAGCCAATCATGGAGGTACGCGAGAGAGTATTGTTATGATAGTTTAGTCAAAAGAGGGGAGGAGTTGTTACTGACACTGCTGTAGCGTTCGCGAACACAAATCGATTTTCGATTCTAAATGAGCTTGACGAGAATGCTAACGATTCAAAAAGCACACTCAAACAAAGAGTAAACGCAAGCACAAGTGAAAAAAAAAGAACGGCCAGCCCTAAAAGTATTCATACTAATAAAGTTATCGTCGTTGTTGGCGCTAGTACATTGAATAAAATAGATATACAGCAAGTCTCTGGTAATGAATTACAAGAAAATCTTTGGAGATCCCAAATCAGCCAAAAACAGAACGTTCATTCCGAAACAGGCTTCTCACAATGTTCGACAGGTGCAAATGATCACCGCAAGTCGACAGTTGAACGATGGTCATATTAATGAATTCGGAACGTTGTTAGCAACATTTTCCGAATACAAACCAGTATGTACATAGAGATTTCAATAACTTCATGAAGTACCACAAGTTTTACCGTATAAAAAGCACATTCAGATATTGTACTGCAGTGTCAAATACGATGGCTTCGTAAATAATCATTGGATATGCAGCTATTATAAAGAAGGTAAAATATACATTTACGACTGCATGCGATTTAATAAGTTGTATGAGTTTCATGAGAAGTTTCTTCATGCATTACATCCATATGTCGATTTACAAGACCGCGAATCAGTACTTTTTCCACCAGTCGAGAAAATATCTAATATTCTTAATAGTGGAGTGTATGCGATCGCTTATGCTGTATGCCTTATGAAAGAGTTGCAACCAGAGCATATAAGATTCGACGAGACAAAGATGCATAGCCACTTGATTCATATGTTTCAGACCAACACGATTGAACAGTTTCCGTTTCAGTTTATTGAAATAAATGCAAAAAATTCATCGCGAATGGCACAGTGTCAAGCTAAGCATGCAGACCATAAGAAAAATCATCAACCAGCTGTGCAGTCGGAGAAATGCGAAAAACGGAAGCTTAGTCCTCAAAGTGGTAAAAATAGTAAAATATTAATACTTAATGATGACATTGTAGCTGTTGATGATGGCATTGTTAACAAATCATCATTTATAGAGCGCATAGTTGTAACTAGTACATCTGCTAATATCGAGGTATCTTGTGTTCGCCAGATGCAAATTATAGTTTCTGGACAAAGGTTAAATGATGATCACATTAACGAATTTGGAGATCTCTTAAGAATGTGTTCCGACTATGACCCAGCGCAAACGTACTGGCTTCAACGGCCTGAAAAGATACCTCGCATTTCACCGGTGAAAAGACATATTCAGATATTATTTAGCTGTGTTTGTAACGACAATAATCACAACGATTGCAAAGGAGGACATTGGATCTGTAGTTATTATGACACTGAAAAAATATACATTTACGATTCTATGAGTATGAACAAGTTGTACAAGCATCACATTATCTTTTTGAAAAAACTACATCCACACATTGATTTAACTGATAATCATTTGGTTGTATTTCCACCGGTTGACCAGCAGCGAAATGCCGTTGATTGTGGTGTATACGCAATAGCTTTTGCTGTATCGCTATTCTGTGGAATACAGCCAGAGACTGTAAGATACGACGAAACAAAAATGCGTCTTCATTTGTTGAACATACTCCAACAAAAAATAATTTATCATTTTCCACGTAAGGAGACTGATTCTGACGTAGCACATACTTCACCAGTTTTACAGTCCAGTTCCATTAGCGTGTTCAAACAAATTATTCGAAATTCATACTTAGATTGTTTCGACGCTAATGATAAAGATATATCAAGTTCAATTCCCAATAGCATTGAAGTGGAACGGGACAAGGCAGTACAAGAAACAGCTTGTAGACAATTTACATATTGAACAACAAATCTTAAATGTTGATGTTGCTCCTTCGAATGAAAATATGAGCCACGGCGCTAACAAGAACTGCAATGTCACTGATACGATAATGGCTAATGGCAAGAGGAAATTAATTTCAAAACCGAAAGCTCATTACAACGTAAATAAACCTAAGAATCGTAAAAAAACTAAAATGAACCTTATAACGAAAGTTAAAAAAAAATACAGAAAATTAAATAATAACTGTGTAAAAACAAAATATACTGCAGAAAAATATATCCGCGATATATCGGGAAAATTACCAGGCGACACATCGTCGCCTATTTCGCCTATTATAAGCAAGTTGAGGACCAAGTGCATTGTCAAATGGTGTTTCCATGTGAGGGAAACGCTCGTTTCTGGATTAAAAAAATTATTTAAGGATATCAAAGAAAAGTCCGAAGTGTGTCTATCGAGATTAACGGATAATGCAACGTTTAATATCAGTGATAATGTCGAAGCATTATGTGGACAACGCAGACATGTTGCTTCTGCCGAAGCGTACTATGCAGAAACTGCTTATTATCCAGTGAATAGTACTGAACCTATTGCCATGAATTCTGAAGGTATAGCAACGAATATTTTGCCTTTATTAGTAAATGAGAAAAAAACAAAAACAAAGTCTTGGACTTGTAGCGATCTCTGTAAGACAAATGATCCTGAGGTTATAAATGATTTAAAGAATTTTCTTCAGAAACTATCGAATTGCACATTGCGAATGTTAAATAGATTCTTATGCCGTGTATATATGTGCACGAATAAAATCAACGCTAATAAATTTGGCCATTCTCAAGGTTGTTATATAAACTCCAAATCATGCAAGTCCGAATTTTTATCAATGGAAATTTTGGCCCCTCATTTTCCAAAAATACGATATCATTTTGCCTTTATTAGTAAATGAGAAAAGAACAAAAACAAAGTCTTGGACTTGTAGCGATCTCTGTAAGACAAATGATCCTGAGGTTATAAATGATTTAAAGAATTTTCTTCAGAAACTATCGAATTGCACATTGCGAATGTTAAATAGATTCTTATGCCGTGTATATATGTGCACGAATAAAATCAACGCTAATAAATTTGGCCATTCTCAAGGTTGTTGTTGTTGTCATAATATTATGATAGCCATGGGCGCCCTTCCGAATCATTTAAATTCCGATATTTGCGAACTCCGAATCTTTAAATCCAATAAAGTTATTTAGGTGTTCTGTTTCTCGCGCCTCACCCTGTATAAACTCCAAATCATGCAAGTCCGAATTTTTATCAATGGAAATTTTGGCCCCTCATTTTCCAAAAATACGATATATTAAAAGACTATTTTACAGTCTAGTGAATTTTAATAAAGAATTGTGCGATATGGATGAAGCTTTGAACAGCAATGATGTTATCAAACTCTGCCACATTTCTGATCAAGCTCAAAAGAAAGCTCAAATTTGTAATAAATCGAATACTGAAGAAATTACTTTGAATGAAGATAAGATACAAACTGTGTATAGCCATGCTTTTAGAGCTTACACAAAACGAATGATTGATACCCCACGTTTCAAATGTATTTCTTGTGAAAAGTTGTGTTGTCAGAAGAGCGGCAGTTTTATTGAAATTTCTAAAACCATGCTCGGACCGATTTGGACCAGCTTCATGGAATATCTTGCAAAATGCCTTCCCAAACCCAATGAATATAACTTTCTGTGTCGATACTGCCGAGATAAATTTCATCAAGATACATTGCCTCCAATATGTATTCTTAACAGTCTTGATGTTCCAGCGGTTCCATATGAAATAACGTGTCTAAAT